TATTGAATTGATATTCAATTATTTTTATGTGAAATTACTCCACTAGTTTGATATAATTATTAATACAAAGATCGAACATTCAGAAAAAAATCCTCCGATCCGGCCGGAAAGTCGTTCAAAAACCAAACACAAAGATACGACGCAAGCACATAAAAAAATTCGTGAGGTCCCGTGGTTCGTTCCGTGGCTTAGTTGGTATGGCATCTGCCACGGTATGCTAGAAGACGTCGGTTCGAATCCGGCCGGATCTTTGTATTAATGATTATACAGGGTAATTTTAAAAATGCTAACGACCTCGCAAGACTACACTATTAACATCATAAACAACAACTTTTCATGATTTTTTACAAAACATAATAAATTTACCAAAAATAAAGTTTTAAGCTTTTGTTGTACTATGTGACACTTTTTATATCTCTATGTGGTAGTAAGTTTATACGTGCATGGGTCTTCCCCGACTACCACATCTCTGGTCCTACATTTTGCATCGGACTGGTATTTAGGCTAGCGCTTACCTCTGTTACCGTACAGAGTTATCATCGTTTCGTGCGAGGTTTACAAATAACCCTGTATACTCTGAACTAAAATGTTTTGAAAATATTTTTTTATGGTCTCGCGTGACTCTAGAGTGTTACTGTTCTTTAATGCTGGGATTTAGAGTTTTCAAATTAGCATTTTGACGGCTGCTAGTAATTTGAAATTTAACTTGTAAGGGTAATAAGTCGAATATTAGTAATTGTACTCACGTAACGTGAGCTCGAAATAACCTAGATTTCTTTAAACAGCTTAAACCGCACCTTTGGTTTTAGTTATTAATTTATTTATATTCAGATTACAAAGACCCAAAAATATACCTGTAACGATCACAACTTTAACACGCTAGTTTAGTTTCGTTCCGTCGCGTCACCCGCTAGATGGCATTAGTTGTACTCTGAAACGCGCTATCGTTTTGTAAACTCCAATAGTATAAGTAAACGTAAATAAAAAAATTGTTAATCTAACTACGACTCCTTCAGGGAACTCCCCACCGCGTACGTAGAACCCCTCGGCCAAGCGAAGTCCTCAACGACCCTGTAGACATGGGGAATAGCGTTACATTTCTATCGCCGTGACTATCGTTCCGGTTCCAAAAAAGTCACAGTGATAAATCATCGTGATTTTGTCACAACTGTTACTTCCGTGACCTTGTCACGCCTATAACTTACATCACGATATACGGTTTTAGCCAGCAGCTTCTTTCTAATACTTATAGCCGTTTTTTATAGAATGATTTAAGTTTTTACTCCCTTTGTAATAAGTTTCAATTCCATTCAAAAAGTTGATTGTGTATTTAATGTAATTTTGTTTGTTACTTATTTAATGCGAATCTTTGGATTGTTAAAAACAGCAATAAAGTGTAATGTAATTATATTTCTAGTAGAATACACAAAGTAGATTATACATAACTATAAAATACCAAGTCTTCCTATAATAAAAGAAATATACAAAAATATTTTACTTTGTTCATAAATAGGTTTATAATAACTGCTGCAGATTTTTTTCATCCGTCTTTTCTAGTAGTAATAAGCATTTACGACCCTTGTGAGTGAGCAAAGAAAGTCATCCTATTTCATTCACTCCCATCGCCGAAATGGCCCGATTTGAAGAGAACTACAACGAGTGGCGCGCTCAGTCACCACGGAACGGAGATCGCGCATTGTATCAAATACGTATGTCGTGATGTGAGTGACGGGGATAGCTATTGGAACGGAGGAACACCTATGTGACTTTGGAACGTCGTTCCTTCGGAACGAGTCACAGTGACACTGTTTGACAGCGGATCATCGTGATTTTTTCATCGTGACGTTATTTATCACCCACCTCTACGACCCTGCCGACCCTATCACTCTCGCCACTTTGAAGGCCAACCAGATCGCTAATCAGTCCCTCTCCTCACGCACCAACCGTCGCAGAGCCCCTCATTTCAGCAAGTACAGTGGTATATTCTCTCCCACAGCACGCCCTTCTGGCGGAACTCTATATACAGTAGCGCCCTGAGCCGCGGTCCGTGCCCACTTGGGCGCTATCAGGCCCGCTACTTAGTTTTAGGTTTAGTTTGTGGTTTATTTTACGGGTTATGAGCCTTCAGCTCGCCCTTGCTTCCAGTGGCGTAGTCAAGGCCATCAGCGGCCAACCGCAAAATATATCATAAAAAAAAATGTTAATGCTTTCTACCGCTATAGCATTTGTATTGCAGTGAACGGCACTCAAGTGGTTGAGGCGATTCGATCCTATTTCTGCTACCAGCGCTATATACCTTATTAACATACATAACAATATTATAAAACACTTATTATTTTTATTAATATAAAGATCGGTTCGAACCAACGCCAACGTCTTCCAGCAAACCGTGCCAGATGCTATGCTAACTAAGCCACGGAACGAACCATCAGACCTTGCGAATTTTTCTGTGCTTGTTGCAAATCTTTGTATTTGGTTTTTCAACAACTTTTCTGCCTTAGCGCTATCTATGAGAAATCTGTGAAAGCATTTCGTCACCCAGTTAGTTACCCTTACAGCTACCAGCAACTGACAAGAAATGTCCCTTTAATAATTGTGATTAAATTTATCGAGTTCTTAGGTTTTCGCGATTGTTACACTTAGAAAATGAAACTATTTTTCCTAATTTAAATCGTGTATATTTGTTTTTTCAAACAAACCAATATTTCGGGCCCTTTACAGGTTCTATGGTCACGGTTGAGTGAGTTGGTACAGTCATCAACCAGTTATGCCTAATATTAATGTAAACCACCCATTTTCCACTTTAGTTACAAAAATTATTAATTAAATACCTTATTTTTAAATTTTACAAAAAAACATTCCAATTTACGCTACATTGTTTTACAAATTATTTTATTGTAACCACAATGATATTCAATTATTTTTTTGTGAAATTACTCCACTAGTTTGTTGTAATTAGTAATACAAAGATCGAACACTTAGAAAACAATCACTTCGATCCGGCTGGATTCTAACAAACGTCTAGAAGACGTAAACTGTGGCAGAGGTTATTCCAAATAAGCCACGAAACGAACCAGCGGACTTTACGAATTTTTCTATGTGCTTGTTGCAGATTTTTGTTTTAATAACTTTTCTGTCGTAGCGCCATTTGTGAGAAATCTATTGAATATCATGGTGGCGAAAGATCCTCACCTTCAATAAATTAATTATACTAATTATTTACACGTATATTGCTGCGACGTGTAACGCAACGTGGTTGTCCGGTACCTGACCTCGAAAACATTGGTATATGACGCTCTTCGGTCAAAACTCCTTCTTTAAGAAAGTCGACAGATGTTTTGAGTTGGTACTCTCACCACAAATGAATTCAAATTCGCATTGTGACGGGACTCCAACTGCTCGACCCTCAGGATAGCATTAGCATTCACCCGTTTATACTCCACAATATCCGCAAACTTTGTGGAGTAATGAACCTGTGTCACGTATAATAATAATTAAAAAAGACGCAGTAAATAACAATAATGGTTATTTCAGTCAACAGACTATAGTCGTCATAACTTTATAAAACGTCTAGAATAACTTAAAAAAATAATAATTAAAAATTAGGATACGAAGCGAGAGAAGTTGAAAAAAGACGCTTGGAGTTTCCAAATGTTCAACGGCGTTTGTTGACATAGTCATAAATGATGATCGACATAAGAAACGTAATCGCACACCTCCTCATTGTTAGGTCACCGTCCCACCAGGAGGAAGCGGCAGCCGGTGGTCGATGATAAAGTGGTGGAAGTACTAGAATGCCACTCATAGGCCCTATGATTCGATACAAAGCAATTTCCTTCAGCCAATATGGTAATTTTATGAACACTTCAATAGCTCGTTCTATTTTGATCTCTCCGACATCTAGCGGCAGAGCGAGGTTAGTAATATTTCTTGTACGTGGTGTTATAACACAAAAAATAAGTCAAATTTAGAAAAAAATAAGTTTAATTCAGTCAAGCCTACATGGCAATTTCAAGCCAGTCTGGTTGTACATTGACGTGGTAGTCAGGCAAGCTAACAGCACTCGAATGAAGTCGTTGCTAATCTTTAAGCTATTGCTGTCTCTAAACCTTTCCATGAAAGAAATTGCATAAAATTATTAGGGCCAGTCCGGGCGGTGCCACTGAGGTTACGGCTGGTGTACTTGTTTTTCGCGGTGGTACTGACGACACGGCTCCAGATATGAGTACCTATTAACAAATAAAACCCCATGTGATCATAAGCCAGAAGTCTTTTACGACGCAAACGTCATATAACTTTTATATAAAAAAAAGTCTCAATAGTTCGTGAAATTACATTTATTTGCCAAGTTTTATTGAAATCGCTTACCGGAAGTGCGCGAAACCGGATTCATCCCCTAGTTTGCCACCCTTAGAAGTGGAATATTTTTTTTCAAATTTAAATGGGACCATCCTCCCCTCTAACAAAAAAATATCAAAATCGATTCACAAATGAGTAATCACGTAACAAACAGAAAAAATGCAGTGGAATGAATTGAGAACTTCCTCCTATTTTGAAATCGGTTAATAAGTCAAACTGGCACATCAAGTTGTAACATTCACTAATACTGGCTGTGAAAAATAAGTTAAGAACGTATTTACTCCCACAAAGATAATTACTCTCCGAACATATTCATAACTGTATAAGTGGCCGAACGGTTACCATTCCAGACTGCCACGCAGAGGTCCCGGGTTCGGTTCCCGTGACAGGAGAAATATTTGTACATAGGCCTACATTTACTTCTGTCATAAGTTTGGGTATAATTTGTGGTTGTCTATGTTTGTGTCCATGGCACCTGTGGTACAGGGTTTGCATAGTGCGGGACTATGAGTGTGTGCGCGTTTATTGTTTACAGTATTTGAAGATCATGTAACACGAACGATTAATGTCGGTTTTTTGTATAAAAATTCATGAATGCATAAGATTAATAAAAGATTTTATAAGTGTATTTTTCTTTACAGTGTTCGTGCTCTGCTGGTCACCCTATATGATTTTCGATCTTCTTCAAGTGTACGGTTACGTCGACCCAAACAACCAGGCCAATGTGGCCATTGCCACCCTCATACAGAGCCTGGCACCCCTCAACTCTGCTGCAAATCCTGTCATCTACTTTCTTTTCTCTAACAGGATATTTGCTGGACTCAGGTAAGTACCTTCAGGTACACCACCAACTTTTATAAAACCTTTATATAATACATATACTGCCACATTCAGCGAAAAAAACAAAGTGTGATATAAAATGGTAATGATTATTATTTAAATGGACCCCATGCTTTTCATAGCGTACATCAATGATATTTTGTCCCTTCAAAGCCCTAGGTGTGAAATTTTGCACTATGCTGATGATACGGCCCTTATTTTCCACGGTTAGTCGCGGAATAGCGTCAATGCTATAGCGATGGCAGATATGCGTAAGATTACCGCATGGTTAAATTATAAGCTTCTCACGCTAAATGCTGAAGAAAACGCGTTTTTTAAATTTTCACTAAACTTTTATTTCTAGTCCACCATCTACACTGATGTATTTGAAGTACATATCGAAGGCTGTGTGGCCTCAGACGCTGACTGATTTTTAGATATTGAGGCAAAGTAGATACGGCTACATACTCTATTAAAAAAATAATAATTTTTCAACTAAAGTTCATCATTTAGAAGAACGTAAAATCAACCTCGCGCCTTTCGACAAACTGTAACTAAGTAACAGGAAATTTTAAAAAATGAATGAAAATGAAAAATAACTGTCGACTAATTTTTTGTTAGAGCTAAAACATATTTGAAATAAAAAATTGAGATGACCGATCAGAACTTTGAAACAAAAATTGCAATATTTTGAGGATTTAGCTAATCGCGCCGGTGTGTTTTATATATCTATAATTATCATTGACTTACAAATAAATGGATGACGGGTCTAATTAAAAAACCACGAGAAAATGTCCCAAGTCAACCTATTTAAACGTAGTGACATGTAAAGGAATATGAAAAGGCTAAAACGTTGAATGTAAATTGCAATGTCAACGCAGTGCTGTCTAATTTTGCTTGCTCGCTGTCAGTCGAACAAACGAAGACTAAAGCGTGAATGACGCTCTGTATACGATTTTAACGCCCTATAAGTTCGGACACTTTTTAGCGCGGACCCGACGTCCATATAATTGTAAGTCAATGATAATTATAATTTAATTAAATTCAAACTTTCAAGTGACATAATTCTAGTCATAATATGACGTATTTCTTTATTATTATATGACTGTTTTTTTAATATTATTATTTCATAAATAACAATTTTAATTAATAATTGAAACCTCGGCCTACCTCTGCTTTTATTGTTATCCCTAATAAAGGGCTCATATGTGTAGCATTATTTTAAATTTAAGACATGTATACCATATGAATTCAATAAATATATTGAGTATTGAGTATTGAGTGTATGCATTATAAGAATTTTAAAAGTGCATACAAATACAATTACACAGAGCGTCAACTACACACTTTCTCCAGGGACGTTATAAGTAGTCTGGGTATGAGATTCGGGTATTTTTAGGCATAGACATGAGTCAAATATAATCAATACTACACAAACATTTGGGTGTGAAAAGCCGTGTTCTCGGTGGATCCTACGCAATTTGACTGAGGCTCAAAAAACGGATCGCGTCACTCGGTGCAATGCCATGCTTATCAGATTCAAGGAAGGGACGTCAAATTTGGTGTGGGAGGTAGTAATAGGTGACGAAACATGGATTTATAGTCACGATGCCAATGTTTTGCACGTGCAAAGTGCCTCTAAGAGGATGAGTGCTTCTTTTTTTAATAAAACTGGACACGTGGCTACTGTTGCTTTGGAGAATCTTTGTACCGTGAATAATGATTGGTACGCGCCCATTTGTTTGCCGGAAGTTATTGACAAACTCCGTAAAAATAACCGTAAACGCCGTATCGTCTTGCACCACAGTAAAGCCAGTTCTCACACGGCCAGACAGACAAATGAATTTTCGAAGGTGAACAACTTTGACCTTATGAGCCATCCCGCGTACTATCCCGACCCTGCACCTTGTGACTTTTATTTATATCCAAAAATTAAGAACCAGTTACGCGGTCACCAATTTTCATCACCTGACGAGGCTGTCGAAGAGTATGAAATATATGTTTCAGAGATTGTCACGGAGGAGTGGCATAAATGTTTTCAAAATTGGTTCACTCGTATGAAAAAGTGCATTAACGGTAACGGAGAATAATTTGAGAAACAGTAAATTCATTTCTGACTACTTATAGTATTTTTTCTTATTCATTCCGGAAACTTATAGTGCGCTCTACGTATTAAAGTATAATAATACGGCGAATGTCAAATTCATTAATAAATATGAAAATTTAATTATTTATTAAGTACTTTGAGTGTAATGACGTACGTAATGTACTTTAAAAGGTTCTTCAGTCTGCACATGAACGTTTCCTCACCACATTCATTTTTTAGTTCGACAGGTAGGTGCTCGTAGTAAGTCGGTCCTATAACCCGCAGATTTTTCTCGTGTAGTGCAGTGCGACGCGGTACTGATCGGAGTTGTCCCGCGCGACTGAGGCACCCACCCATCACCTCCACTCGCTTAAATTGTGCTAAGTATTTCCGCGTGAACATCCCACCTCAAAAACATTTTGCGAGTAGTGGGTCATTATTCGGTGTACAGCAAACAGCGCCTTGCAGGATCGCCACTGGGTTATGCCGACCATGGTTCGTAACACTCGCTTTTGTTTACGCATTACCCAGTCAGCTTCTGTCGAATTGCCCCACAGAATAACACCGTAAGACATAATTGAGTAGAAGTGTGCAAAGTACGCCTGCCTCAACGCATTACAAGGCACCAACGGTTTCCAATTCAAGATTCAGAGGATCCAACGTAAAACCTAAGAATTTGCATTTGTCATCAGTTTAATATTTTATTTGTTTACGTTGAGTATCAAACCATTTGCTGAAAACCATCTTTCCAGTTGTTCGCATTCTGTGGTAATTATTTGATTGTGTTGCTCGTATGTGTGCGCACTGACTACTACTGTTGTGTCATCAGCATACATTTTTTTTTTACCTTTCGATACGGCAGATGGTAGGTCATCAAAATCATCAATCATATAAAGGGTATTTCCTCGCGCATATCCTTGTGGAATCCCTACCGTCACGCTACCAGACTCCAACCTCAGCCTTTTTCTACCCGACATTACTTCAACCGTTCGTGTTCGGTTTTCTAAAAACGATCGCCGTAGGTCACTATCACGTCCTCGTAGACTGTAGCACATTAGCTTTTTTATAAGTAGGTCACGACTTATGACGTCAAAAGCATTGGACAAGTCGCAGAATATGCCAGCTATTTTACACTTGTCATCGATGCCTGTGGTGATACAGTCAATTGTTTTATATGCTGCTATTGTGGTGGATATGTGTTGTCAGTATACGAATTGTCTGTCGGTCAATAAGCTATTGGTTTCGTGGTACTGGTAGATTGGTACTGTGACTAAATCGATTCTATAAATTTGGAGATGTTAGGTACTATCGATAATGGCCTACAGTTGTCGACCAATGTTTTGTCAGACTTACTTTTATATACTGGGCATACTCTTGTGTACTTAAGCACGTCGGGGTAGACAGCATTGGTAAACATCTCGTTGATTAGGAATACCAATAACTCCGATTAAATAAATATAGATAGATAGTATAGATAGTGTTGACCAGATCGACAGTAGTATGTTGACGGATATGTCATTATATGTCAAAAGTGTTTCGGGTCTTCAGCATGGATTTAGCAACGCAGTCAAGGTCGGTACGAGTGACAGCTGGTAAGTCAACGTCCGGCACATCAGCACTCCGTACGTGATCACTGAAGTATTGCATCGTCCGTTCATCAAGTTTAGATGGTCCGGTGTGTCCCTTTCTTCTACATTATTTGTGTCACAGTTCTTAAGAGTTATATCTTTCTGCCCTGTTTTGACGAGATTTCTTCGTTTATTATTTTCCAAATTTCTTTGGAGGGATTTCCACTATTTCATTATTATTATATAAATATTAACATTGTTATATATATACTTATACGTACCGAAATTAAAAACCAAGTCACGGATTTCCAATTAACAGAATAAGGTTATTTGTTCTGGTCATTAATTACATAGATGGTAAGGTATTTCAAGTTAATTTGTGAACTAACTCAACTCCCATCAAGTGGCAAAATGATTCATGACCAACCTCTCTACGCCTTATTAAGTTCCAAACTTGACTGTTCTTGCTCCAAGTTCGTATCTTACTTTGGTCTTGCGCTACTTTTGCTACGGAAATAATTTATTATTGTCTAAAATTGTATAATTTAAAAAAGTGACCAGTTGTGCCAGTTACTCACCCTGAGGAACACAATTTCAATAAAAATTATAGTATCTGCAAAAATGTAAGTGTTTTAAGCGTAGACATACATTATTTTTTTCAAAACGTACATTTTGTATCCTGTTTATAACATCATTACGAGAAGTTCTGATAAATTGGACTTTTGAGATATTTATCCTCATCTTGCAGTCGACTGATTCATGTCTAAGCATATCAAACGCTTTATTAAATTCCAAACTCCAATGTCCTCGAGTTCAAATTCAATTGACTAACTCTTAAGTTCCACCTTTTGTGGTGAAAATTGGGTGAAAAAAGTTTTCTTTTGAAGCCAAAGAAACTTTATCAAACGCAATTGATTGAGAAAGAAAAGTTTTTATTGCACAAATAGTTTTATATGTATTGAAAAACTTGAACGAAGAGCAAGACTTAAGAGAAAAGTATTTTGTCGAAGATATTTTTGAAAACATGAAACTTTGACGGCTTGTAATTATACGTTTCTATTTATTTATAAATATTCATGTATTTTGTAAAACTGTAGTGTATTTATATAATGGGTTATGGGACACGGAGGGAAATAACTTTAAATATTGTATAAGATGTTTGCTTTATTAAGGAGACATAATTTTATTTTTAGAAGTAATACATTCAAAGACTTTTAATAAATGTAATAATCTCAGTATAGAGTACTAAAAAAACCGACCTCAAAAGTACGTGAGAGTACATATAATTATCAAATTTTATTGAAATCGGTTACCGGAAAGTGCGCAAACCCGGATTCATCCCCTAGTTCGCCACTATACGGGACTTGACACAGGAGATAATAAAAATCGGTTCTCACTACTCAAAGTATATTGAGAGAGAAAAACGCTTTGAATTGGAGAATAGCAAAATCAACCATTAAAATAATTGCTCCTTATAATAAAATTGAGGCGCTATTTATAAAACCGAATCTTCATGCGTGAACAGCAAAATGATTCAAAATTAAATTAATGTGACCACTATGACAGAAAGGTTGTCCAACAAAAAAGAATCATGAAAATCGGTTCACAAATCGGTATTTGTTACGGGATAACTCCGGTGAGTTATCCCGTAACATGCATACAAAAAAAAACATACACTCGAATTGAGAACCTCCTCCTGTTTTTGAAGTCGGTTAAAAAGTTGCTTGCCACATCTGGAAATCGCAACCGAACGAAATAAAATCCTGTAGTTTTACGATGGCGATTGAAAGAGGCGTCACATAGTATCTGCTTGCACATATTACAAATATACTTTTTAATGCTTCTTGTAATTTGTAAGTTCAATGTAACACCACAATATAATAGATCATGGACGGTCAGGATGCGCAACCTGCTCTCTAACGACATAGTTTGTACAATTCTACACCAACCCTAAAAGCTACTAAACGTAGTGGCAATATTCATTTTATGGTAGAATCAGTTTTATTTCATTCACTAAATGGACTCTGTAAAAAACCTGTTGCTTTACTTCTTAATAAAAATATCAGTAATCGTTTCAGGTGTTAACGGATACATGTATGCGGTATTCTCTAAAACGGTTGAATCCATTGAAATTAATTATGTACTGCTAACTTGTACATTTCGAAAAAATTTCACAGAGCTTTGTTTTTATTATAAATTTTGACTTTGCCAAGTACCGCAACACATGAGATAAGAACAACATTAGCCAAATTAAATATTAATAGCTAAATACTACATTTTATGTATTCAGTAAATTTCAAAGGTTTTAGTAAGAGTTAAAAACTCATTTAATATTACAATCCCTTCTTTGTATCTCGTTAAAATTTCATATCTTAGTACAAGTTTGAAATACTTTGGCTTAATTCGTTTTATAAACACTTCTCGCCCTTTTACTATAGAGATAAGCGGAGGCTACAACCTTTTACTCACTACGATCCTTACGTACTTATTTTGCCTCATCAACACGCATCAATGCTTTCAGATACGCTCGTTAGTTAAGGATACTCTTGACCAGTACTTTTTTAGGAGGTTTTCAATTCGATCGTAGTATGTTCGCCTTTGTCGACCCTTACTAAGTTACCCCACATTTACCTTTTCAACATGTTTCGTCAATTTTCTTTCATTCATGCTCTCTACATGTCTAAACCATAGATATGGGCAAATGGTCTTAACCATCTAAACATCCATTTCTGTACCTTTGTCAATTTCTTCCATAATATTTCCACCAGAGTCACGTTTTATAACTTTCAACGTAAGTCAAATGGCTTCCGTCTATCCACATGTTTCTTGAAAATTGAAAAACAGTGAAATTTTACAAATTGTAACTTAGTAAACAACGCCGCTCATGTGGAAATTAGGTGGTTATTACTTTTGAACGTAACTTATTAAAAGAAGACGTGAATATCGATAAAAATTATCTAACTGACGTACATAAAACTACTTGCTAATCTTAGATAAAGGACGTATCACTAACAATAGCTTCAAAAATCTTCTACACAATAACATACGCTGTTTTTAAGCACTCTCCTTTTAAATCAATTAAAATGGCTTAAGCTATGTTGTTTGCTACACAACGATAATATCTATCAACTGCTCACGAATTCGTTATAAAGTACAGTCACAGCACTTTTGCTCGTATATCGCCTCCAGATTAACGGAACCAGATCCGGAAATTTGTAGCTGGATATGCTAATGTCCGTACGATCTTCCTAACAAATTTCATCTTTAAATATACGGTAAGCCATTTCGGCGTAATGGACTAACTTTCAACTATCCAACCAAATTTCCTTTATTGTATTTATAAGTGCAGTAAAATCCCAAGACTTAGGCTAAACAAATACATCTATTTATTTATTTAGTTCACCAACACTATATACATTACAACATTCAAATATTTAACAATACAAAACAAAAGGTTAATGCTATAGCAATTATAGGTGAAGACAACATGCAAGATAATAAGAGTGTTATTTTAACATTTACTACTGCAATTTTAATCAATCAAACAAATTAAATTGAAAAAATATAAATGTCGTTGATAAAGCTAATAAAAAAAAATCGAATCCATAATAAAGTAATAAAAATATAAATCATAAAAATAATCGAATACAATATATTTTTTAAGATGCTTTGGCACTTTCTAAAGGCAATTTGGCGTTGTTTGTAATGTAATTAATATAATGAGCTCAATTTACTACTCATTCAGAGTTTTCGTCGATCATCTAGACCTACCTACCTAATTATCAGAGACAGGCATAAGCGGAGTATATTCGACCAAACTTTAAGTAGGTAACTTTATCTTACTTATCCATTATAATCACATTCAACACGTTTTACAAGGCATTTATATTTTTTTGTTGTGATAATTAAAATAATCCTTACATTATTTGTGCCTTTGACTTTAATACCGCGGAACTTACGGTATGAGTTTCCACCTCGGTAAGCTAGTTGCTAAATCAATCCGCGTAAATGACTTGGCAAGTAAATTAGCAAGATTTACGGGAATCTATTATTAGCAGTGCGTAGCCAACATAAATTAATGCTTACTGGATAAAAATGACAGTCGTAGCAATTTCTACTTCGGCAAGTTAGTCGCTACAAGTTTTTCTGACGATATTCAAAGCAAGTTGATTCAAAAAAGTGCAAACTGGCTCTTGTAGGCATGTAGGAAGGAGGTGGCTAGAGCGGTGATTGTAATAACAATGCACTAGATTCCTTCACATTTGAATTTATTCCACTTTCCATTTAACATCTGGTGGAGTGGAGTCATCTTCCTATCACAGATAAAAACAATTCAAACCTTCATAAATGCCCAGTATATTGGTTGAAAATTGTAATAGCGAATTATTAATGCTAAATTTGTAACTGTCCGAACCTTTTTTTAGTATTATACAACGTCACGTACGTTGCTTTGACACCAAAGTAACTAAAGCACTTGTGTTATGAAACTCGGAAACAATGACGATACCATAGACAACTAGACCCATGACCATATAGAAAAGTTAGGTTTTATACCCTTACCTGACTGGGGATCGAATGCTGGAGATGCCGACACATTGAAAACCAATGTGCAAGCCACTCGAGAATGGAAGCCGTCAAATGAATTGGAATTGATCTAGAGTTTTGATTAATTCTTTTTAAGACGTGATAAAAGTACTTCCGCTTTCCTCTGAATGTGTCAGCTCACACACTAGCGTGTGTTTAGTTCCCAGGCAATATTAATAATATTCTTTACTTATTTGGATACCTATAAGTGTATCAATAACAAACTACTTCTTAACTTAACAAGAGCTAGACTCATAAATCGGATTGTTTTGGTCATCAATATGCTTCTTATAAGATTTCCTTTAATACCGACGAGTGACATCTCCTCGTAATAAAGATATTATATTTATTTAGATGGAGAAAAAACTTCCCCTCTTGTATCTTGTTTATGACTTAGCTAAAATACATTAAGTTTTGAAGAGAAATTGAGTTATAAGTGTAGTCAACTTTATCAAGAACGAAAAAGGTCTATGAAATCTGACAACATGCTTATTTTGGTGTTAACTTAATGTTTCTAAGAAACACAGACGTGAATGGAATAATTATTTAGCTAGTCTTAATTTCTTATCTATTTTCTTTATTTCTATTAGGAACATCCCTCCTTACAAGTGGCTGTGGTGCTGGATGAAGGGTGCCGACAGCCCTGTTGGGAACGAGTCGCGTGCACACACCGAACTGCTCACCTCTTCGCACAGCAGGATGCGTCATGATCTCACTGTCAGGGTATGTCCACTAAACTTGTATAAATAAATTGAATATCACATGAGGTATACACAACTACTAGTGCAATAGTGAAATCAAATTTTACGTATCACCAAACCAAATCCAGTTTCTCTCTTGGTGCCGACGTCACCTAGCCTCAAATAATTTGAATTGTGTGTGCTGAACCGTTAACAACGGAAAATCAATTATAATCCTTAGTAAATCTCGCTTTAGGGCTATATTTCGCAACAATGCTAACATTGGACTAAGATTTATATAAACAATACACAGAAACATACAAGGGCAGACTTAATATTGCCGAAGAATTTCTTTGTTCGTTTGCCGGGAAAATTGCGCAAGATCAATAAAGAAGAACTTGGAAACGTTGATACACAGGGAAATCATTTCTAGTACAAATTTCCGACTTTACCACTCGATGTTAATATGGTTTGAACTTGTCAGTTTTTCTGACTTGATAGTTCAATTGTTCCATTTTTCTAACTATAGCGATACATCGCGACAAATGATCTTTCAGCGAATGCATAAAGAAATTGAGATACTACATTGGATGTATAATTAAATCATTAATACCTATTCACAATTAAAATACGAAAAGAATAATAAAAAATATATTTTCCTTTAGATGAAAGACGACAGTCTCAAATTCCCGAAACAGCGAGTACACCAATGTAACAGCACGGGTAATTCAAAGAAGGTCAGACTGCATTTGCCAGAGGAAAATCAAACCAATAACAACTGTCATACGACGCAGCAGACAAGAGCTGATACGTTTTTGTAGTATTCGACTCGATTTTAGATTCTTAACTCTACAACGACCGACTTGAACTCAAGAAGTGAGAATTTCAGTGAGAGTGATTAACTTTCGTACTTCCGAATGAAGTTTTTGAGAACATCCGATTGAAAACTAATAAAGACAAGTTGAGATACTTCCATTAGTGATTTGCTAAAATGTGGAAGATAAGTATCAATTAACTGCTTAATTAAAGGTGAAAAGAGCTTCATTTCAACAATAATGTCGTTACCACCGCCAACTAACACGTGGCAATGGCAGTGCTATTAGCTACTGAAAGGAAGCTCTTTTCGCTTTAGTAATTAAGGACTTGAGCGTGTAATGTGATCCATTTCGATTTCAGCAAAAGTTTTATGAAGACCAATAAGATAAATATTGTTGCAGTAGTAATTGTTATTTAATTATTTATTGAATTGGTGTTCAATTATTTTTTGTGAAATTACTCCACTAGTTTGTTATAATTATTAATTAACAAACCAGAGGATTATTCCGTGGCTTATTTGGCTTGACGTCTGACACGGTTTGCCAGGAGACGTCGGTTAGAATCCGGCCGGATCGAAGTAATTTTTTCTAAGTGTTCCATCTTTGTATTAATAATTATAACAAAGTAGTAACTGTTACTACATATTGTCTTTATACAGGGTTATTAATAAACTACTAACAATCTTACAGGACTATGTAACTAACCATATAAACCACAACCTTAGTTCAATTACTTTTGATAATACATCAGATTTTACTTTAGTACAAAAATAAATGTTGTCAGCGATAACCTACGACTCTGAGACGTGGTCACTTACAATGGGCCTCATATAAAAGCTCAAAGTTACTGAACGAGGAAATCCGTAGAAGAACGGAAGTCACCGACATAGGTCGAAGGATTACCAAGTTGAAGTGGCACATAGCTCATAGAACTGACGGCCGTTGGGGCAGAAAGGATCTCGAATGGAGACCACGAACCGAAAGGCGTTAAATGGGACTGCCTAGATGGACGGATGACCTGGTCCGATCGGCTAGTCTGCAAATCTTTGGGGCAGGCCTATGTTCAGCAGTGGACGTCTTCCGGTTGATATAATAATGATGATGACAAAAATATAAATATTTAAATAGATCGCTCGAAATGGCAGTAATTCTGTGCGGTAACAAAAGTAAGCGCTAGTGTAAATACCAGTTCGATGCAAAACGTAGGTGCAGACATGGGGGTAGTTGGGAAAGACGTCAGCACATTTAAACTTACTAGCTTAAAGTTTCGGATAGCACAACAAACACTTAAAAGTAATTAGTATATTCAAAGTGTTTAAAACAGACGGAAAAAGTACGTACTGCACGGGGGTTGTATAATAAATGAACAATTGATTTTGCATCATCACCTTTATTACGGGTATTTTCGGGTTTCAACAATAGTAACACTGAGGGTACCGGAGTATAATATATCAAACGTTTGTGAACGAGCTTATTCTTCGACTGAGGGTCGGGCTATCAACAACCCTTGAGGACGCCTCGTGGAGAGGCGAAAAACGTGTCGGGTATATTTTTTGGTGGTGGTGTTTGTGACTATATTTGCGCTTGTGTTATTTATTTTATGCGGAGGAGGGTGAGAACATTAACTGCTTGATAAAATATTCAACACAAGTGCAGTGATCTAACCTTCACTGGGTCGCGGAGCAGCATATTAATATATTTTGTTTTTACTTAAGAGTTTTTTTTTGTGTAAAAGTTGTCATTTATAATGTTAGTAATGAATGACCCTGTATGCTTAGAATAATAACGCATAGAAAGCTAGTCCGCACACGCTAAGTGAGGCAAATTGAAGCGCTCCCAAAAGGCCTACACGAGCGGACGGGCCTTCAGTGCTCAAGGCCAACTTACACCGCGAATAGCTCCAGAATTTTAGCTAAAAATGACGAAATATGCGGTAAATGAGTGTAAAAATACGTCAGACAAACATAAAATAGATACTAACATCACATTCCACAAGGAAGTAACGCGTTTCAACTTGTATTTTTATATAAATATTCAGTAAAATCGAAAATTAACCTAGTACTAAAACTAGTCTACATGAATTTGATTTTTGCCTCACTTGTGACGGTTCGTTTGATATGAAACTATCATTCTATGCGTTATTATTGCCTGTATGATAATGTTTTTAACCTTTGCACTCTTGCGCCGAACATAAGCAGTCGCGTGCGGTCTGTGAGACCGCAACTTTACGCGTTCAGTTTGAGAAGACAAATGAATATTTTCATGACGTTGTGTAGCACATGATAAAAAAGTCTTTTATCAATATAATTGAAAATATAAATGAAAATAAAAAAACATTATTTACTTATTGTTTTATTAAATTTGTACTTATTAGTTGAACAGTCTATAAAAATTCAAAATTTTAGTAAAAATTACGCAAACAACGTTAAAAATCAACAAAATAACAAAATAAGATGAAATTTTCTATCTCAAGCGTTCATAAGCACACTTTAGGAGATTATTATCGAGATCAATCAATATTGTCACCAATTACACAATATTGTAGGAACTCTAAAATCACAATTATTTTAGAACGTTTTTTTCATGACGTTCTACGTACTATGTCAATTCTTATAAAAAGAAAACAAAACAAAAATCTTCTAACTTTTTTTAGGAGCAGGTACAATAACCATTAACATTATCAGTAGCAATGGTTTGACATTATCAAAATCTTCATCTTCTGTTTCCGCTTTCTCTGCAAGCCATTCTGATTCTTCGTAACTCATGTTGTGTCTACAACAAATAGTGAAACAATAAATATTTTAATATACATTGCACAAAATAATGTAATTTTGTAAGTAATATAGTACAAGTAATATGAAATACTCACCCAGTTTTCAATTTCATTCCATGATTTTTTCCGGAACACGACCGGTCGCGCGCGGAATCTGAGACCGCAAACACAAATAAAAACACATGTGCGCTTGCAACGAATGTCACAGGGCTACTAGGAGAAATACCTCACCCCCTCGAGGATATCACGGTCGCGCAAACGTTTATTGTTTATAATTTTTCTAAATAAAGCAGCAGTGCAGAGATTCTGTTTCGATAGGGAATTCACATTCCACCTAGATTTCGCCCATAGAACGATACACTTAGCATCGAAAGAAAAATGTATTATTTGATTTTTTATTGAATTCAATTATTTTTTATGAAATTACTCCACTACTTTGTTATAATTTATTAACACACTGATACTGGTGACTAAATACTTTGATAGATTTCTCATAGATGGAGCTACGGCTAAAATTTCGTTGAAGACCAAATACAAAGATCGGACAAAAAAAAATATATAGGTCCGCTGGTTCGTTCTGTGGCTTAGTTGGCATAGCGTCTACCATGGTTTGCTAGAAGACGTCGGTTCGAATCCGGCCGGATCGAAGGAATGTTTTCTAAATATTCAATCATATTAATAATTATAATGTACTAATTCCTAATAAAACATTCACCTCTGTAAATTTTAAATTAAAACAAGAAAATTGTTCGTAAAAACAAGCTATATTTCAATTCGCATTATAGTAGAATTACGTAATTATTCGAGTGATCTCAAGTAATTCTCACTGCCACCTTTCTGTTACGCTAAGGGTCGAATTGACATTTACTTAATAAGTAGTTTAATTAAATGAAAACAATCGAACGTACTATATTAATTGTAGAGTCTTGACTAACACAAATGTTAATTAGGTCCATGGATACGCAATGTACACCGATTCATCATCTGCTTACACGCATCTACTGCTAGACGTAAGCCTTCCCTTTCTAAGGTTGTCCGTCCATCTTGCCGCAGGGCATTCTACGACCTATGCAGACCTATTGCCACTTAAGTTTACTGATTTTGCGGGCTATGTCGGTCAATTTTGTTCTCTGACGTATGATTAGGGATTCGATCCGTGAGAAAAACCTCAAACAAAGCTCATTCCATCCCACGTTAGCTTGCATAGCTGCACCAATTACAAACACTTAAAGTAACTTATATTTAGATACATTTTCTTCATTATCATCCACAACCCATCTTCACCCGCTAATGGGTTTGAACTATCTTGAGCTAGTCTGATTGTCTTCATTGTCTCAGAACACAAAGTCATTAGTCATTATCAATACATTTATGTTCCATTCCTGAGGCCGGATCATTTTTTTTATAATACCAAATGACGGGACGTACAAATCGTGCTCCTTGTCGTACGCGACACGACTGTTCCTAGCAGTTACAGTACCACTCAAAGCTTTAAATCTCAAAAATCTGAGTGGCCTCTGCTGCGTCTGACACCTGAGACGTAAGTTGACAGATCCCATGTGCCTGTAATTTCACCAGCACCCTCAATCCTTCAAAACCAGGATGCAGTAAAGTTCACATTATTGTTTGGCGGCAGAAATCGGAAAGGTGGCAGTATTTTACTGGACGAACTCTCACAGGGAGCTCTACTGCTACTCCAGTACCCTACTGAATCTATTGTAATTAGAAGATTTCAGTTTAACACGCTTTTCCAATGTGTGTTGGTGACTTAACAAGCCCTCGAAGATAATTATACTTGAACCTTTCCAATATATAGGTTTTATCACGAAATTTTCCATCTCCGTTAAAGTATCTATCTCTATAATCATCTATCATGTTCTTAGGTTTTAGCGATAATTGCACATTGAAAAATAAACAATTTTCATCAATTTGGATTTTAATCGCGTTAATTTGTTTGAGGTAGCCATGACCAAAGAACCTGCAAAATTCCCAAAATATTGGTTTATTTGAAGCAACAAATATACGCAATTTAAGTCCGATAATAACAGTTTCATTTCCAATAGATAATTTAATTGTGTAACACTAAATAGGGACTAGATGAATATTAACATTAATTTCCTGTTTCCCTTAATTTAACAAACGAATATTCACGAGAGCATATTAACTCTAGTTACGGTACATAAAAGCATAAATCGAAACGTCATAAAAGTAAACATTATGTATCTTTAAAGTGGTCAGTCAATCAGTGCGTTCTACCAGTACCCACCCACGCCGTACCCACAAATTCAAGGTCGCACTGTATGATGGAGTGAACTACGCT